GAAGCATATCCTCACCACCCAACGAAGAGCTGGGTGTTATCAAGGCTGCTTCGCAAAGTGGAAGAGACAGCGAACGGATCAAAAGTGGGATCTCTTAGTCCAGCATGCCCCCAAGATTGCAAGGGAACGAGCAGAGGTTCCAAACAACCTCAGAAACGTTCTTGGCATACAGACCACAAAGTGGACAGGAAGCCATCATAAGTCATCTGATGGTCTACATGTAGTTCCTGATGTTCTTGCACGCGCGCTTGATTGCTTGGTGTTGGAGAGGCTTGATGCAGGCGAGGAGGTCACCATCAAGCTGGTTGAGAATATCCTTGTGATATTGATTGGTGTTTGGAATGAACATATCAGCGAGATTCACAATGAGGTTCAGCAAATGCTTGAAGACCTGCAGCAGTCTGATTCTGATGGCAACAAGGAGGCCACATCATCAAATGCAGCTACCCTTGCCGAGCAAATGCTGCAAGCCCTCCAGCCATTGAATGTGAGCAAACATCCAAAGGCAATGCAGAACCTTGAATGTATCAAGTAAAGAGTTATGTTTTGTCATGATTTTTCTTTGTTGTACTGTGCATACGTTGATTTCAATTGTACTTGCGTGTATGTATATATATATAGTTTATATATAGTGGTATGTATATATATATGTGATACAAAGGGAGAGGGAGAGAGAGAGAATCCCATCCAGGGCTACTGTGTCCAGACTGTGCAACCGTATTGGCCTGCGTGGCAGATCAGTGACCAAACAATCCAAGCACTTGGACTATTCACACCCATCTATGGAAAGCGTTCGCGATTACGTGTCCATTGCATGTGAAACAGAGCGCATTGATCCAAGATTGCTAGGCAACTTTGATCAAGTTTGGAGTGTGCATTATGAGGCTCCGCGGAGAGTAATGCACAAGCATGAGAGCCAAGCTGGTCAGATCGTGGACAGTGACTACAGGAAACGGTCTTTGCAAAAGATCCGTGCCAGCATCAGTGAGTCCCTAGGCATGGCTGGCTGTGGACAGCAAGCTCAGGTGGTTCCCAAGGACGATTGCAAGAAAATGCAGTTGGATGCAGCTGGAAATTTGAATCCAGTCGACTACGCACGGCAAGCAAGGACGTTGACAACATTGTCTTGGGCGGATGGTGACCTTGGGCGTGCCTGGGTGACCATACAGCCAGGATCAGTGCAGAATCCTCAGTTATTGATGGATCTCCTGGGGTTTGCTGCTTTTGCTGTGTGTGTGTTCATTATACGCGTTTGTGTGTATATATATATAAGCCAAAGCCCATTTGGGGAAGGACACTACAATATGTGTATATATATATGCAGCTGGTTCATAATCATGGCAAGCCAGCATTGTTGGCGGCCAGGACATAGTGTTATACATATAGAGGTTGTATATGGAGTAATGACTTGCGTATCACATATATATATGCTCACTGTATTATGTCAGCGGATGTGCTTATTGTTGATTTCTTTGAGATGCATATCAGTTTAATGCAGATAGAATATCATCAGCCCTACTCTACTCTGTGTGCGTTTTTCATGTACAGTAAGGTCTGAGAAAGTGGTGGACAGCATGAATGAGGAGCTGAAGAATACTTTGCAAATATCCACCCGCCACAACAGCCATTCACATATGTGGACAGCTGCTGACCTGGGAGAGTACTTGGAGTTCCTGGGAATTGAACTGAGGCGGAAGCGTATGAAGCACGATCTTCCAGCATCAGCTCGTGCCATGATCATGATGGACAAAGCACCACAGCATGGGAGCGCTACGTTCAAGAAGCTTAGAGAAAGATTTGAGAGCAATAACAACAATTGCATCCTCATTCACGGCGGCAGTGAGGAGCATGTGACCATCCCGGCAGGCAGGGTGAGTGGAACTTGCAATGTTTATGTGTATATATATATATACACATGCATATGTTGCCCATACGAGCCTCTTGCTCCTGACATAGTTGGAAAAACATTTAAAATACAACATGCACGACAAACAAATCTATATATATATATATATATACAAAATTATATATATATTTGCATATGTATATATATACAATACACCACATAAAAAGCTGTGCTACTTGCGATCATGTCGCGTCAGGTTGGGGGGCATGTGGTGGTCCAAATGATGGATTCCACCAGTTTTATCATGGCCTTCGACGTTCAGCAATGAGAATGAGAGCTGGCATGGGTGACAATCCCCGACTGCGGATGAAGATTGAAGAGTTATCCATTTCAGTGGATGGGAACTATCGATTTGAGTGAAGGGCTTAGTTGTGATTGAACTGATATAGGACAATTACAAATTTGCTTTAGGTTGTGGAGCTATGCGTGTGTGTATACATGTACAGTAGTATAATATATATATATATGTGTGTGTCTGCGGGTTGTGTATACATAACCAGACATGGTGTGAAGCTAGTTCGCTTAGTATGGTAAGGTGCACATACTGTCACTGGTGGATCAATTTATATTCTATGTGCACCTGTACAGCCAAGGCTGTCTCAAGAAGGAAGCCTCCGCTGTGATGCGTGGGCGTTGCGGATGCTCAGGGAGTACCAGGGTGGGAAGATCATAATGTGGAGTTGGCTGAGTCGCGGCTTCACCACAATGTCACAGCTAGCAACCTGGCACTTTGATGGAGACATTCAGGCCGCTAAAAAGGCTATGGAGCGCACGCCAGATCGCATGAATGACTTGTACCATCTGGATGAAATTCCAGACCCTTCCGATGAGGTTGGTGATGCCCAGGAATCTGCACTTGTTGCAGCAGCGGAGTCTAAGACTCTTGAAGGAGAGTCATGCACCTTCTGGACCATTTCAGATGGAGTTTCAGAACCGATTCCTCTACCTGATTGGTTCCAGCTACCGAGTGACAACATCCTTTTGACATGGAAGCGTGAGCATGAAATTTGGGAGAGACGAAAGGCTGCTCGCTTGATACGCGGAAAGGATTCTTTGCCTCCCAAGTCTCAAAGATCCTATGATCAGTGGAAAGCAGAAGAAACTAGGGTCTTGGTGCTGGACAAGAAGAGAAAGGCTGTTGTTACCAATGTGGCACGGAAGAACTTGCAGACCCTCAAGAAGACTTGCCTGCTCCTGATGGTGCATCCTGCCACAGATCCACAGGATCTTTGGATTCAGGCCGGTGATGGCAAGCAATGGTTGCTCAAGCTCATGAAGGGTCAGGCTATTCCTGATGCACCATTACCGATGGAAGTGGATCACTTTCCAGGCATGTTCTGTTTTATTTGTTTGCTTGTACGGACAGGATGTATCTCTAAATGATGTGCGTATATATAGTGAGAGAGAGAGAGCTCTTTGTCAGTGTATATTCTATCTGCAGTGTTTTGTATGATTCTGAAGTCTTTGTTCATGAAGAGGTGAGCTGCCTGCAGCTGGAGTCATGGACGTCGAAGCGGCTGCAAGCCACGATGAGTTTGATGACCATGATGAGAATGAAGCGGCAGAGAGGCACCAACTAGAGCAAGCAGGAGCGATGGTTGAAGCACATGATTGTTCTGAGTCTGAAGAACTTGATCAAGCATTGCATAGCGGCTGGATGTTTGTCAAAGACACTGACTCAGAAGATGATGAGAATGAGCTGGAGCCATCAGCCTCCAAAGACATGAAGATCACTCGTGCGAGGGTTTCCGAACAACGGGAAGAATATCAGGAACTACAGAAGCTTGGCTTGGTTGAGCGACCTCCAGGTTGCGCCATCGGGGTCCATCCAAGTGGACAAGTATGGAGGGCCCGCGCTTCAGAAGGAACCTTTCATGGCCGGCGCTTTGGTGGCTCCTCTGGACGCACGCCACGACAGGCGTTGCTCCGGGTGATTGAGCTCATGCTGTTAGATCACTTGGCTCTATCACCAAAGGATAGGCTTGCTAAAGGTCAGCTTCAAAGGGTTCGTGAGGCTCGATCTGCTGAGTTGCCCCACAAGGATTAGAGGATGCACTTTGGCCAAATCCTGATCGGCATGAGGTGATCTATGCATATCCAATCCATGAATTTGAACTAGAGCGTGCAAAAAGCACATGGCAAGAATCAACAGTTGCGATGGGGAAGAAAAAGGAGATTGGGCGAGGAAGCGGGTATAAAACAATATACTGCATATCCGGGCAAGCCAGCATTGTTGGCTGCCAGGAGATTGTTGCAGATAGAATATGTGGTATATAACCATTTGCAAACCCTTGCTTCATTGTTGGTAGGCCTTTTGGCTTTTAGACTGTTGCATGCTTTTAGACCTTTAGCCATGTGGCAATGTATTCTATCTGCACTAATTTGATATGCTGTTCAAAAAGGACTATAACAAAATAGGAAACAACCAGAAGAAACACCTGTTCAAACAACAATGGGCAACGATGAACAGAATATATATATATACATATGGCAAAACAACAGCCTTTCTCCGCATTCACACACGTGTCCCACTGCAAATAATTGCATACTATATATAATGGATTATTCACGTTCACGGAAAATCAATGTTTGCAGTGAATGCAATGTTCTAGCTTTCATGGTTGATGTTTCCATATTCTAACTGCGAATTTCATATTCTATCTCTGACGTGTTTTTTTCCAACAAAATTGATGTTGCGTAGTCTATCTGCAACTAATTTTTTTTTGTATTCTAACTGCTAGCAGATCACTATATGTTGTTTCTGGTTGGGACGGGATTTCAGGTGCATACACACATCCTCCTGGGGACACACTGCATTTGTGACAGTGTGGATCGTCCCAGAAATAGTCCTTGAAGTCCTTGACCTGCCGGGGGCCGGGCCAGTTCAGAACCAGCTCAAAACCTAGGGAAACAGCTTCAAACCCCTGACCTCTCCAATTACCCCCGTAATGTAGGGTTCTGTCCTCTCCATTAGAAGGGTCATAGCCATAGCCCTTGGGGTAGCAATATCCGACATTTGTGGCCAAGGATCTGGGTTTTGGGATACGTTGCATATGATTTGGGACACGTTGGGATCGTTGAGCACCGGCTAGAGGCTTTCTTGAGCTGATCAAGCTGTATAGCCTCATGCTGGAGAGGAATGTCTTTGCCTTGGAGGACTGGTTTCCGAGGTGGCAGAATGTGTGGCCTGAGGCTTTGAGATACTTCCGAACCGGTGTTCAAGACAGAAGGATCCACATTCCCGGAAAGCCATATTTATGTGAAGCATTGGCCCGCCATGACAGCTTCTTGTTCTCAAAAGGACCCACCCTCATTCGTTTTTGAATACGCAGCCTTACAAACCAGCACAGAAAGCAAAAACAAGCGCCTCAGAGGAATCCCTTGCTATACAGTACAGTGCCAAAAGGTGGGGGGCATTGGCCAAGGTCGCGACCTCAATTTGCGATGGACATGCATTACAAATATGAGTGGCCAACAGGAGCACCATGGATGGAAATCAGAGCCCCAGAATGTGCCTTCCCCTCAGGATTGGTTCTTTTTGCCTTGATTATATTCTTCATTCCAGCCCTGCGTCCAAGGGGACGAAGGACGTTGAGTCCGCCCCATGTGTACCATTTCACCATGTCGCTGGGAGGACAAGAAGTCGCGGCTCTCCAGCGGCTTGGTGAAGTTGCGACAGACCCAAGAGGAAGTGGCTACTTTGGAAGAGGATTTGCAAGAGAAGGTGCCGGGCCATGCGCCGCTAACCCCTAGATATCGATCGATAGGTGGTCTGGCAGAGGGGAAGAAGATGGACATGATATGGACTTCTTATCAATCGTATCGGGGCGTTATGCTGACCACTTTCCAAATGATGGTGCAAGATCATGTATGGACCAGTAGTGATCAATCTTAAGAGGCTGTCCGAAGATATACGCTGCACATGTCCATAATGTGAATCAATCACAATCAATCAAAGTACATTATATAGCACGAACAGAACTAGAACCATCACACTCCCTGGAACTAACGTTAAAAACCCTTTGTGCCTAGAGCCATTGTTTATGGATGTTGATGGTCTTCCCAGGGCCTATTTTCCACTTCCAGGTCAGTGGGTCAGAGTGGCCATTGGTTTAGAGGAAGCCCGTCTCCACCCTTCCAGGACCATCCTGGAGCTGGGTGTCGAATGCAGGACCAGCACCACCATAACCGGTTTGTTCGGCCTTCTCCCATCCGGCTCATAGGAAGATAACGCCCCCGCCAACAGATCGGTGAAAGACTCTGCAAAAAAAAACCGGTGGATTGAACATTCACTACGCACCCGCCAGAGCGTGCGACCGCTCCAAGCCATTTCCCCTCCGGTTTGCACACGCCATTGCTTTCCCTCGCAGCCGCCGGGAGGCGCTGGTGGTCAAGGAGAAGGCGGAGAAGGCGGATGTCTTCGCCGAGGAGATCGGCCGGGAAAAGACGCGAGTGAACACCGAGGCCCAACCGGAGACCGGATGGAACTGGTGGAGGGGGACGTTGTTTGGAGAGCCTTATTTTAGTTTTATGGAGTGTTTCTGGAAGAGTCACACGTCAAGTGGGTCCACGTTGCATGGTGATGATCAGTCCCGTCCGATCGCCTGCTTTTCACCGTCCGGCGACGTCTGATCCGTCGCGACGCCGGCTTTCCGAGGTGGGAACGGACACCCTCCGCGGGGTTGGCGGTCGACATGGTGACGGTAAGAACACGGAATTGTCACGGTAACATGGTGAATCTCGCATGGCCGAAACCGAGATTTGACATGATTTGAAGACCTAGGCAATCAGATTGCCTAGGTCTTCATAGTTCGAAAGGTATGTTCTCAAAAGGTATATAAGGGTCAAGCCTTGATTTGTCCAAGAACTTCATTCCCTAGGGATCCAAGTACTTTCTGAGGGATCCAAACACCTAGGGATTGAAGTTCTTGGACATCGAAATCTGCGAGTCACCAAAGGGTAGCTTTGGCTATACCTGAGTTCTATGAGCTTTCGCTTCGGGGCAGGATCCTGCCACACGCCATGACTTGGGGCTCGCGATTCGGCGATTCTTCATCAATTCGGGGGGCCCCCCGCGGATCAACTCCCCCCTGGGATGGGTGAATTGTCCTTCAATTGTACCGTGGTGGCTTCGTGTGATTGGCTTCGTATCTTCGTATCGAGCTTTGCCTCCCTCCTCGATATTTTGCTTCTTTTTTACTGGTGCTGCAGCTTTGGTCTTTTCTCTCTTCTCTCTCTCCCTCTCTCTTTTGTTTGTTCGGCCCACCTCTCTCAAAGGTGAACGTATTGACCTACCTTTCGTCCACCCTCCCCCCTCAAGTTACAAATGGTTGCAACACGAGCCACTACCAGCAGTCGCATGTCGGGGTGTTTTTTAGTCCACGTGGACATTCTGGGCACCACTATCTTCCAATAGGCATCCCTGTGGAACCTACTGCTGCATATACGATATTAGTGCTTTGGTTCACGCTGGCCATAGCTGACCGACTGGCCATAGATTGAGTATGGGATGACAGAGGCATCAGCCTTGCTAGATCCAGCATGCTGTCGCCGACGCAGGCAGAGAAGGCCACCATTGAAGCAGTGAAATGTGCACAAATCGCAGAACAAGTGGCAGAGAAGAAGGAAGATTGTGTCTGAGCTGAAAGTTGTGAAGTGGCTTTGCTGGTCCTTTCTTTTAATGTTTCTTCTCGAACATTCGTCAACATGCCAACATGCTTGGCCGATGTCAATCAGAGACCAAGGACCAAGCACCAAGCTCCGCATTGCAGATGTTAGGTGATTAATTGGCAATCGCTTTTCCATGCCCATAGTACAGGCACAGCCCCATAGAAAGCCCCCTCCAAAAAAGCTATTGGCAATCGTTTCTGTTCGTTTCGGGGGCCTTGTGGCCTGTGTGCATCGCAAGCTAGAGGCAGCTCCCCACCCCTTCCCAGAACCCTGCATGGCACGACCACATTGCGAGGCATGCGCGACTTGAATTTGGCACTTCCTTTGGTGGAGCAGGCAGAGGCTGCCTTGGACGTTTTAGACAAGAAGGAGCCGGAGAGGTCAGTAGGCTCGGAAGTGCATTGGGTTGCGAGAACCTACCAAACACGGGGCAACCTGATGGAACAACAGGCAAGATCCACTTGGAACACGGGGCTTCCAGGAATTACCATGAACATGATGCGAGGCGGCATGAACATGATGGAGTGGCATCGACCGTGGAGAGTCGCATCTTAGAGTCCAACCGCCTCGAGTCGCATGCTGCTCTCACATGACGGAAGTGGACCCCCCGACCCCTCAACCGAGCAACATGGTCTGTCCTGGGGCCATGTTCTGTTGTTCCACTTGCATGTCAAGGATTCAGAGTGTATGCCTACCATTTGGTCAGGGCACCCAAAAAACCGGCGGACTTTTCAACCCAAAAACCGTCCCGTTCCGCAACCTCGCCAGCTCCGTGAGACATGTTCACTTGGAGATGGAGTCAGATGGAGCCTGGGGGGGGCTCTGTTCTAGAAGCCTGTTCCAACACTCCGACTGGGGCAGTCAGCATCCTCAACATCCGACGGAAACCTGGGGCATTATGGCATTATGGTTGGGACCCCATTGCCCTGAGTAAGCCTGAGCATGGTGATGCTCATGCTAACTTAGCATTGTGACACTCCTTAAAGGAGTCTAAAAATATGTGAATGGCGCGGCCCGCAGGCAAAACGATTTCCTTCACCATATAATTAGGATTAATTAGGTGTTTTGATGTGTTTTGGGGGTGGTTCCACTTGCGCCCTAGCATCCCCTAGCGGCAGGGCAAGTTAATTTATGTTTTGATACTAGCTAACTATTCTTCAACAATTTTCGCCAGGAGTTCAATGAGCTCAAGGCCTGCTCACTTGCTGTCCCAGGGCCTTGGGGCAACGGCGACACGTGAGGGATGTTTCTTCGGCATGAAGGAACGGCAGGTGGAGCAACTGAACAAACCAGACCCCATCAAAAGGCAGCTGTATGTATATAATCATCCTGGAGTAGATAGAATCTACTTTCGTAGGGGGTGATTTTCTTTTTGAACAAACTCAGGGTTTTTGACATCCCTTTCATTTTATGAAGACTGACCCCATAGATAGAATATAGTGATAAGATTCTTATCAACTCCTCCCATTCCGGTATTTGCTCCTTTGTTATTTTCATGTTCTGTTCCTGTGTGTATTATCTAAGTTTCCTTCCTTTTTTCTTTTCTTTAAACGAACAGAAAATAGAACGAACAGAGAAGGAAAAGGACAACAAAGGAAAAGGAAGAGAAGCCCCTACAACCATATTCTATCTATGGGGTTTGGAAGGGCCGGTTTTGAGGAGTGACATGTTTTTTGAAAATTCGTCCATTCTATCTACTCCAGGATGATTATATATATATATGTGTATGTACACGGTTGAAGGATGTTGAAGGCTTTGTGGCCCTGATTGGGGAGGTGTGCTTGTTCACCCCCATTCATCATCATTAGGGCACCAGAAAATGTGTTTTGAGGGTATCAATGGTATCGCTTATGGGCAGTGCTGGTACAGACCAACGTCGCGAATGCACTCCTTTCTGTTTAGAACGTTGCTCCTGCCACTGGTAGCAACCAGCAGGAACTCGTGGCGGGTTGTCAAATCAGACCAACACAAAGAGGGAATGTCAAGCCACTAGCGACAGTAGAAACCACTTCCCACCTTGGCCAGGCGCTCACGCGTCCTCCCACAGACGTCCACTCCGTTTGCGAGACAGCGTTGCACTTGTTGGCTGGCTTGGATTCGTTTGTGGAGGCGGGTGTTTGAACGGCAAGATTGAGGGAAACGCTTTGGATTGCTCCTGCCCTATGTACAGCAACTTCCTGCTTTCCAGTTGCAGCTTCATGGGACAGTGTTTGGGGAACCATGGAAAACCTGATCACCCGCAGAAAAATGAAGCACACCATGAAGCACACCAGGTTCGGATCCACCCCTCATCAGCCAGGCTTGTCATATGATCAACCATTCGGGTGTCCAGCAGTCACATCGAGTCCGAGTCGACATCGAATTAGGGCCACTTTCCGAGTCGACATCCATTGAGGCCTTTTCGATGCTTTTTTTCAGATCTTTTCCTCAACTCCGCTCTTGCGACGCAGGTGGACAAGAAAGGCCGTGTGAAAGACCGAAGCTGGAAGAGTGTGCAGAAGATGATGACTGATCCGGGTCGCTTCTTGCAGGTTCTCAAGGCGCCGAAGGGTTCAGCTGAAGAAGTAGACGGTTGATGATAATTATTTAAAAAACCGTTTCCAGAATGGTGTGAGATGCCATACCATTCTGCAGACGGTGGGTGTTTATATAACAAGAGTCTATAATACACTGTTTGTATCTGTTTGTTCGGCTTCCCTGTGGTCATGCAACTCTTGTGTCCGGTTGGCCAGTTGGACCAGACCATATACCGTGTGGCTGCAGGGCTACAAGTCTTACATTGACGACGGTTCAGTGCCGGCACAAAATGTGGAAGAGGCAAGAAAACTGAATCTTGGATATAATAGTATGCAGTAGACAGCATTGCTACGCTCGGTGCTTAATGGAGTTTCTTTTGAATGCAGATTTCCAAGATTGTTTTAATTATCCCGTATTCTGGAGGCGTCCGTCACGCTCATCAGGTGGTTGGGAATAGGACTGCCACCCCCGTCATGTCGCTTCCACCATGTCGTCCATGTTGTGGGTCGATTCAGAGGGATGTACTGTGCCCCAAACACCAATGTTTGTCTCATCCGAATTTTAGACGGCACACTTGTTGCAGCCTTATGCAGGTGAGGGGGCAGGAAAGCTGGGTTTACATCGCAAACCGCTGGCGTCGAACTATTTGGCATTCTCAGCCCTTTAATCAAACCCTCACCTGGACACCCAGCTTTTCTTTTGTGACAAGGGGCTGCAAGGGGTGCCAATAGACCTCTCAATGCCTTGGTCGGCCTTTGCGGTGTTTTGCAATCCCAGGAAAGATTCACTTGGACAAGAGTATCTTGGTCGCATACCGTACAATGCATTAGCACAGACTTTGATTTGACCTCCATGATGACTCCATGGCAGAAATATCAATCCAACATGAACTAGCTTGATCCCATGGAATTCTTTGTTTATTCATGTGTTTCCTTTTGTTGGGATTGTTGGGGAGCCAACATGAGACCTGCTGTCGGGTCATGTGAAGCCACGCAGACTGCGCATGCAAACCATGTAAAGCAGCACACCTGGTCGCGCAGACTGCATCCTCAGGTTTTTGCCGGAGAACATGAAGAAGAAGTCTCAGGCCGCCTAGCTGGTGGTTTGTTGAGCAAAGGAGCTACGTTGCAGGGGGATTCTGAAGTAGCGATGATTGATAGGATGTCAGTTGAAACTTGAAGCCTGGTTTTGCTTGGCTTTGCGCGCACATTTGGCAACTCCCTTGGAGACTGTAAATGGGCTCCAGAAGGAACAAGGAAGGTCGGAAGGTAACGTGGCTGTTTGGCTTGGTTACATTGGTTGGCTTTATTCTGTTGGCTGGTTGGTTTGGTTGCTTGGTTGTTTGGCTTAGCTCAATCAAATCTGTGAAACGCATGGAAACAGCGATGGGGTTCGGTCTTCCTGCCGTGACCTCCGTCGCTCAACTCGGGCGCTCAGCTGGCCAGTCGGATCCCAACACGCTGTGCAGTCGCAGCTTTCAGCTCTCCAAGTGCACTGCTGAGCAGACCAAGAGGAATAGAACTGAACACGGGCATGCGGCATGCCTGGCACACTATAGAACTAACGGCTTTAAGCTTCTTGGAGTCGTCATGAAACCAAATTGGACTGGCAATTGGCGGAGGGTTTTGGTGGCCTTTGGTGGCACCTCTTCCGCAGTTGTCGGAGATTCCGGTGTAGGAGGGAAGGTGCCCCATCATGGGGCATTCGAATCACCGTGGCCCCCAGCTCTTGTGACCGGGGCTGGGTGCCTCCCTCGGTGGCCGCCCGCCGCATCGGCCGCCCCCCCGGTTCTCACCCGGCGACGGACGTGGCGACGTGTTCCATACGTTCAGGCGGCGGGCGGTCTCAGCGAGTTCGTGATCAACATCATTAAGTGCTCAAGCCTCCGAGTCACTCCGCGGAAGTCCCAAAAGAACGATCCATGTAGGGTCCGGTGAAAGGTCCAGTATGATGGGCAAGCAATGACAACCCAAGCAGTCTGGCGCTCACAACGTCTAATTATGTCACATGTAGTGTCACATGTCTATAATTGATACCTTTGCAGATTTGATGGCTTGCCAGAAGTTATGCGACAGAGACCAATTCTGTCACTGTGGATGTTCTTCCATAATGAGCCCGCATATCAACAGCCCTAAACACGTAGGGGTTTGAGGGGCCCGGACCCCTGCCATGGAGGGTCCGACCTTTGCCATGGAGAACCCAGTTGTGATTCTACGACTCACCAAACTCCAGAGCTGTGCCAGCTGTGTCCGTTTTGCAAGCCACGTTCTTCACTTCCGTGAATTCGACGCTCAGCGGCTGCGAGAAAAACCCTGGAACCACAACATTCCTTTTGTTGATTCCCTTTGTCAACTCCCTTTGGGTGGCGGGAACTGTTGAGGGAACCGATTTTATCAGCCTCGCCTGGAACACCTCCAGGTACTACGACGTGGTGTGCCAAGTGGAGCCCAAAAAGCGATCTTTGCAGGACACTGTTGTGAATCCATGTGAATTCGTCGTTTCGGTGTGTTTTTAGGATCGTTGGATGCCCCTGATGGTTTCTGTGAGATCGGATGAGGTAGGAGAGTCCCCGCATGCAAACCATGAGTCCTGAAAGATAATTGACGCTTACTCGCCCCAGTACCTCGCGGCCCTCGTGCCAAAACTCTTGACTCAAATCTTTTTATATCTTTTTTAGTCAAGCAGCGGCACATATCTACATTAACTAACACAAAGCGATATATATATATAGTTTTATATATATATATATATATATTATAGTTTTTTTAATGCTAAACCCTGAAGACATCTACACTACACATGCATACCTTCCAATCATTTCTGGTGTTGTTTATTTAGAGATTAATCTCGGGCTTGATATGTCGCATCCATTACTGTTGGCCACATTCCGCGCCCCCGAGATCTCGGTCTTCTTTTGTCCGCGAGGACGCCGCAGAAACGTTGGAGAAGGCGAACGAAAGACATCGGGAGGTCACCGCCATGGTCAAGGCGCGCAGATGGGTTGTTGTTGTTGTTGTGGTGGTGGTGGTGCTGGTGGTGGTGGTGGTGGTGGTGGTTTTTATAGTGATTTGGGGAGGATCATTACAGTACACGGTTTATATGAGGAAGAGGGTGAGAGGGTGAGAATCATTCAAGATGATGAAGGTCATGAGTCAAGAGGATGATCATGATATCCATGAGGAGCATGAGAACGAGGGCAACAACGTTTATGAACATTGAAGATGAAGATGACAGAGTGGCAATGACGCATAAGAATCCTTCTCAAGTGTGTCCTGGTATTGGGTCAGACTCCTTACGTTCAATCAAGCAGGCATGGATTGGCATTGGCAGTGCCAGAGATGTCCTGCTTGTAGAGTTCGTTCTCTTACAAGGGTTATTAGTTATTAGGCATTTATTCGATATCCCGCAAACTCACCATGTTTCCGAAGTGGAACCACACTCCTTTGGGCCCTGCATGCGGACAATTGTGGAACATCATCAAACCCATCGAACTCTTTTTGTCCAAAAAGTGTCCACCAATTTGGGTATGTTTGGCAGATGTTGGGAGAATCAAAAAGGTGTTGTTCCAACATGCTATCCACCCGATCACACCCTTAAGGACTTAAAGACATGCTCCAGCGATGACCCTATATGACCCATTATGACCCTCCAAGTGACGCTGGTTTCAAGTCAGAGATGATCAGAGATGGACCTGGTTTGATGGACCTTCACTTCTTCGACTCCTGGTGAACTCAGGGAACTCCCTGGCGCGACCGGGGGGGGAACATGGTCCAACATCTCTTGCAGCTTGTCGCGGCTTAGCTCTGCTCGCTCGGCCGGGGTGACCTGGAGGACTTGGAGGAGAAGCTGGCGCGCCTCGTGGCAGAGTTCGACCAAGCGCTGGCCGAGAAGGATGAGGTCATGGCGGAGGCTGAGCGCTGCCAGCGGAAGCTGGACATGGCACAGAGGCGGCCTCTTGGGGGGAGGGCGTCCGTTCACACGTGTGGGTGGGAGGGCTTTTTGGCTGTACCAGTGGGTTCTTTGCAAGATGGAAAGGGAGATTGGCCCTATCATGCCGGCTGATGGGTGTGAGGATTTGGGATTTCATCACTTGCACCTGGGACTTTCCAGGAGCTTGATTGGAATGTAACAAGGAGTGAGTTCTGATTGGCATGGATTTTCGACATCTCAGTCGCTGCACCCTGTTTTGATGATCTAGATTTGAACTTGAAAAACCACTGGAAAGACTGTCGCTTGCTGGGCACTTCGAGCAAGATGATAGCATATACCCTAAAGGATTGGAACCACCATTGATTCAGTAGCCTTTACTGAACAACCATTGACTTGTGCAGGGCAAAGCCAGGTCTTTGAATGGTCTTTGAAGGCTAGGGTTTATCTATGATCCTCTGTTATTTGGTGGTCATTGGAAATAACATGAAATCACATCACACGTTAACACTGAGGGTTCCCACAGCTGTGAATCTTGTGAATGGATTGAAACCCTTGACATTCAAGGACAGACCTGTTGAACGAACTCGCGTGCTGTCAGATGGTGGGAGTGAGGTAGCATGGTGCCTGAGAACACACCTAGGACAGTGTATCGATACCGTGGACGCATATTGCCGGAGCGGAGCTTTTCTGGACTCACGACGGTGGTTGGAGGATGTTGGAGGTCCGAAGGTGGTTGGTATAGGATGTTGGACCAGCTGCCAAGGGATCACCAATGGGACAACAAGACGGTGCCACACTGCTACTTACAGGTCTGGAGGTGATGAGCTCGCTCCGAAGATCCGTACGTCATGATGGCCTGAACTCCAACCCCCTTCAGCTGTCGGGTCTTTTCCGGTCGCGGTTGGACTCGCCATACCACCGAGTCACGTGGACACCGTTTGGGCAGGTTGGTGGGCGCCTTGAGTGCGAATGGGGTGATTTGGGAGCAGACCGTGGAACGGACCGGTGAGGACAGACGGGGGCCAGGCGCTGACCGTGGCTGAGGTGGGTGAGGGTGTGTCCCACGTAACCCGGCAGTTCTTGAGAAAGGTTCTTGAGGGAGCTAACATGTTACCCTGCACTCAGTACTCTAAATAGGCAGGACACAGCACATGAGCGACATCTCTCAATGTGATGCCGCTCAACTTTTGGGGGATATGAATATGATATGTTTTAATCTATAGTAAACTGATGGCAGACAGCATATTAAAAAATAAACTTATGGTTGGAGATAGAATTTAGTTGGATGGTTTCCAGACAATAATCTTAAAAACGAATATAGTATAGAATATGAAAAAACACCCAGGTAGAATATACAACAGCTGAACCTGACAATTCTTGCACATGACAGCTGCACCCTTACTTTTTCCTCTCCCAAGCCAAACATTCGATAGATTCTTGTCATGTTTGTACTTCAAATGATTGAATTATTCGTGTGTTCAAAATCACATATATAGAAAGTACACACCTCAAACCATGAACATACATGCCACAAATTCTATTTGTTTGATTTGGTGTATTCCATCCAGACCCACAGATAGAATATCGTGCTTACATAGTGGTCCAGACAATCCATGACCAGACCATAACTAAAATTCTGCCTGCCTTTTTCGCGGTGTGTTGGCCCGCAAGGAGGCCCCTGAAGCATGATCCAAAATGAACGATGGTATTGCGCGGAGATTTGGAAGATTTGGTGCACAAGCACGGCCTCTTCATATGGTCACTCACCCGAATATTCCCATGTCCGTTTGGGCCCATTGTACACTCCCGGCGGTACACTCCCACCGGTTTGGTCTTCATGCTCATCGATAGGGGCCATACCATCATGCGTACTTCCCATGATCAATCCAGGGAGTGTAGATCTTCCTCCCCCATCCCAAGCCCCGCAGGAGTTGGTTTTCATCCCCGGCACCTCGTTGGTCGCTTGCTCCTTCGCGGCCTACCTGGGAGTTTTCAGCCCCTCGGGTCCTGGGAGGGCGAAGCCAGGAAGTCAATGAGGTCATAAGGTCATAGTACCGCTATTCATTAGGTCATTTTTAGATGGGTGATGGGTTTGATGATTTTGTTGTTCTTCGGGATCTTGGAATTGTTTTTTTATTTTTGGTGTGTGTGTGTTATATATAGTGTGGGAGATTTCTCGTGTGAAGGTTTAGTGAATCCAGTTCTTGATGCAGTTCAAACATAGCAAGTTGTGCATCGTGTTAGGGCCTGAGCATCCCTTGTTCAATTTTTACATGTAGCATTGTATAAAACAATTTTTCATGACCAAAATGAAAAAATATATATATATATATTGGGCCCTGCCCCCCCACAGTAACAGTCGTAAAGGGTCAGGGCCCTTAAACCATACCTCCAAAAGCAATAATCATATTCAAAGTCATTAAAGGAAATTGGATTGTAATTTCTGGTCTAGGAAACGCAAAATGATTGGAGTAGTGGGCGGGTTAAC